ACACACAAACATACAGTACTATTTGTTATTAGTTATTAGAAATCAGCTGCATTTATGCAGTTCAAGGGATAATTCTCACCCACCTCTTGCTCTTGCTCTGCACTTGTATATGCCAGTTGAGCTGGTTCTTCCACCAGCTCAACTCTCTGTCCCTCATCATGAACGCAGGAGGCTGGCTGTATATCTGAACTCGCGCCCTCATCATTCTCTTCATCATCTTGCACTTGTTCTAAGCTGCTGATGATAGTGCTTGTGGCAGCGCTGCTGCCAAAAAGGTCTGTCAATTTGCGACATTTATATGCTTCACCTGCGAGTGACTTCACCATTTTTCCTCTTGCCTTCTCGCCCCCACTGTTTTCTTTGATTTGTATCTATGTTTTTCATTCTATCTGTCTTGGCGTCTAATCCAAGCCCCCAGGAAGTGCGCCGGACTCTGATGAAAATATTCGTGCTGGCCAAACGGCGGTACTACACTTCCTTTTGGTTGCTAGGCCCGGAAACACTTTTTCCCATTGACTTACATGGGGAAAGAGTGGTCTGTAAATCGTTGGATAATTTTTTTTAAACTAAATAAACTACCCAGTATGAACACTTGTATAGCCCTTATTAAAAACATTCGTTCCTCAAGTTGTAAAATGTGCTAATAACGTTATTCTGCAAGTTATTTCCCTCTGCATTATGAACGCGCATCTAACCCACGGGACCGCGCCGCCCGGCACGTTCATGTTACGTGTTCAGCACTACATGCGTTTATCTTTACCCATGGATGTACAATAAGAACGGACCCATATCGCCTTACTGCCAGCCCACGGAGCTGTAATAATGGATATATTGAACATGTTTGCTGTAATTCATCATTTGTAAAATATTATACTACATGGGCTGTATGATTAAATCTTGTACCGTAAATGTTGTATTAAATAAAGTTAATATTACCGACGTAGATTAACGTCCCTGTAGCTTCTTATTCTTATTGCACTAAGAAGCTTATTGCACTGTGTGTGTATATATATATATATATATATATATATATATATATATATATATATATATATATATATATATATATATATATATATATATATATATATATATATCAGGGTTGCCAACTTTGGGTACCTGGCTGGAGTGAGATTTTCATATCATGGGTTTAATTCGGTTTAATTACACATATGCGCACGAAATGACTGCTATCGTGTCAGCAGCAGGACCTTAGCATATATATAGGATATATATACAATATATACAAATACACAATAATGGACACAGACTATAAAGGGCACACAGTTTCATTCACTAATGAAAGTCAAACATGTTTGTTTCCACTGTTTTATTGTGTGCCTGTCGCGATAAGCAATTAATTGACTTATCGTACGATAAATAAAAATGAACTCGATAATTTTTATGACCTCGATAAATTGCCATTTACATGAGGATGTGACTAGCAGTTTGAAAGGATGTACTTGAATTATTATTATATATTATCATTATGTCAGTGGTCTAAAATGGTCATACAACGGTGCCGACAATATTATCGTTTATCGCAATAATAAACGATTATAACGACTGGGAAAATGTATCCAACAAAATTAATTATCGTGAGAGGCCTATACATGAAACACACACACACAAACAAATCTACAGACTTACTCCAAACTGCCAAATATATTAATTAACACACTCTCACTCTCATATACTCTTTGACTCTATTTTGGCCTAGTAGAACAATAAGCAGCAGACTTTTACTTTGTTATAATTTCTACTGGATCTTAGATCTGCGCATGCGCAATACGGGTCGGCAGTTGCGGCTCCAGAATATTTTTGTTGGGTAATCTATGGTAGGGCTAACCCATACAGTGGTGGGGCTCAAATCAGTATTTGCAATGTAATTACATACACGCTATATTGCCCCCCCCGACAGTGAAACGCCATGCGTGAGGTTTAGATGATTTCCCTGTCTCAATCCCAATTGAACTGTATGTAATAAAAAGGCACATTTGTCTTGTAGTAAATAAAAAGGGCGACCTGGAGCCAATCCTGCAATTTCCCCACAGGTGAAAGAGTTGACCTGCTGAAGACCCAACCCCTGCAGGGGGGTCTGGGGGGATTCTCCCCCAGGAGATTTTTTTAAATACTAACATAAAATACACATTCTGATACTCTCTTGAGAAGAAAAATAAATAAATCTATTACTACACATTTAAAAAAATAAATGCCATTTTTGTTTTGTGTTAGTTTGTTCTGAAAGCTGAACCTGCTGCTCCTCACAGAAAGAAGAGGCTGTGTGAATTACTTTACATTGTGGATAAGGGTGGATAGCCCCCATTGTTCTGTGTGTCAAAATGAAAGACAGTCCACACACCTATCAATCATCAAACCGTGGGGTCTTATTTACGTGTTGATTTCTATCAACACGTAATGTTGTATCGATGTATAGAGATGTACTACCGCAAAAGTATTCTCCGTTGGGACTTCCTGCAACAACACCACGCCGTTATCGTGATTCTGATTGGCCAGAAGACATTATCAAAGATGTTCTATTGAGAAGACGATCACTACGTGACAAAAGTTTTCAAAACCGTTTCTAGTCTTCGGTATTCTTGTTTTTGGCGTGAGAATAGTTTGGGCAGCGTGAGAGCGTGAGATTGAGAGTGAAAGCGTGTGTCACACGCCAGATGCGTGAGAGTTGGCAACCCTGATATATATATATACACAGTGCAATAATTCTTTCATGCTAAATGAAGCTCTGTTGCTTGGATATCACTAGATCCTGTTACAGCGTAATATAAAAGTACATAACGATTGATGTGTAAATTAGCATAATTACTAGCTAGCCGCTAGCTGCTAACTGCCGCCTCGTTAATATCAAATCTATCATAACAAACATTACCATGCTGTCATGAACGTGCGGTGCTGTTACGTGTACGCAAATTGACGTGCTTGATGTGAACGAGCATTTTGGGGGGCATGGTTAAAGTTGCGCATGCGCTATGAGCGCACATACGGGTACTTCTCAGGCATGCCGGGTAATCTGTGACGTTTCGCTCTCTCAAAAGTTGGGCCATTTTATCATCATGCGCGAATGAGCAACTCTCATAGGAATGAATGAGCCCCCGCCTCCCACGCTGTATCCAGTTCTTATTATACATCCATGGTCTAATCCCTTCTCTTCGTGTGGGTGTGGCCGGTCTTTTTTCTTCTTCGTGTGTGATTATTTGACAGATAAGAACCACACAACTGCATTAGCGGCCGCTGTCGCCCTCTGTCGGCCGTCAGCGCAACTTAAAAGATGACGTTAAACACATTTTTTTTAAAGGGCCGGCCGGCCGTCAACGGCCCTTGACGACCGGCCGTTCTGTGGTTCTCCAGATTCTACAGATGGCCAGTCCGCCCCGTCGCACGGCATAGTACGGTATAGTTAGGCCTTGGTAGGCCAGGCTCACTTTATGCTGCGTTTCCATTACAGTTTAGGAACTGGGGTAGTAACTATAGCAACGCAGTGTAGGCGGAGCCGTGACGTCATCTTCAATGCGAAACACAAAACCAACATCAGCCGTTAGCTGTTAGAACTCAGAGCTCACAGCTCCTCATATCTGTTCAGAAACTAGACAAAAGTTAAACAAGTACAAACCACAGACTGCCTGTGTCATGGCGAATACAGTCGCTGGTTTATTTATGTCTGTAGGCCGTTGTTGTGAGTGTGGACGGTCGGAGCATATACTGCGTTAGCTTAGCCGATCTCCATTCAGAGAACACGCATTTTAAAAGGTGTTTCGCCTGCCGTCTGTCTGCAGACTTGTCAAAGCATTAATTCATGGTTTTTACTAACCGGTATCAGTATGTTGTTACTTCGGCATAATTTAGAAATGTGTATTACAAATAAATCACGGTAAAATATGTTAATTTTGTTGTAGTTGCCAGCGATTCTCTCACTAGTTTAGCATACTCAGCCCGGTTGTTGGCCCGGAAAGAACCTCGATTTTGGAGAGCCAGAAAACTGTGAAAAAGTACCCGCTAGCCGGAACTACGCCTAGTGGAAACACAACCAAAAACGGGCCGGGCACAGCACGGCACGCTTAAACCTATAGTGGAAATGCGCCATTACAGTGTCACATACTGTATGCAGAAGTATTATTTTAAGCAACACATTAAGTTGACGAAACACTCGAGTCAAATGTAATTAAAGTCAGATCCACTCGTGTCTTAAACGGGGCAGTGATATCATAAACCTGTTAATGTACGCATTCAAACACTTTTTTTTTTACCAGCTGTATTCACCTTGCAGGTGCAGCTATGTGGCTTTTATCCTGGATAAAGTGTTTAAGTCATGGATGTTTCAAGTTTAACGTCTTCATATTTGACTAATATTATAGTTCACTTTTCATTCAGGAAGTATGACGCTGCGCTGTCAGTACGCTTCTCCATGTTTATGATTGGTCAAATGTTGTTAACCCTGCCCCTTTCATGTGAACGCGCACTCAGCTGGACAGAGAAACCCTGGCTTGAGTTAACGAGTTGATAACCAGCGTCGTAGGACCGCTTAGCGAGAGCACGTTTGTTTTGGATTAGGTAAGCCGGGTAACTCAAACATATCCAGGGTCTGTTGAACTGGATTCGTAGTACAGGCCTCTGCTCAGACTGTTGTTATGTTAATCTATATTTAGTCAATGCAATGCACAATGACAGGTCCCAATAATACAAGCAAGATATGTTGATACACATAGCATAAAGTAAGTGCACATAAAGGTCACCCGGAGTAACTGGTCCACATGCTGTACTGAGCAGATCAGTCATCAGCTAATTTGAATAGAAAACAATAGTGTTGATTTTGTGTGTAACCTTTAAGTTAGACTCCCTGTGTGTAAACCATAGACTGTATATATAAAGGTGTAAACCTGTCATTAACTCAGATGTAACAGAAGTCTGAAGGGTTGCTGTGGGTGGATGGCAGACCGTGCCTTTAGTATCCTTCTGTGAGCCGATTCAAACACAAAGCAGGATGATGGGAAATCATTTTAGCTTGTTTATTTAGGTTATGTACAATAAAGCTTCATCACATGAGCCTTTGCAAAAACAGTTTACAACATCCCTCGCACACACAAAGAGAAACAAACACCATCTCCATCTACTGAAAGCCATGATGGGCAGCCATATTGCAAGAGCAGTTTCAAAGGTTAGGCATGGGGCGGGGGTGGGCGCAGAAGCATGTGATCATGAGATCTGTGAAGGAGCACATAGTAACAGCAGCAGCAGCAAAGCAGTGCTTCTCACGTTTTCACTGGTCCACAAAGACCCTCAGGGAGCTACACCAGACAGATAGACACAGAAATCAAAGAAAGGAGAAGGAAGTCACACACGAGGGAATCATTAGCTTCATTTTCTACAAAAATATTGCACAAAAAATCTGGATATACAGAGTGACAGAGATAAACAAGAATAGCAGCCAGCAAGCCAATATCTACTGGAGCAACATATCTGCGACACAAACAGGAGTCTGGCTCTTCACCTCTCCAGGTCCCTCAGTGTGGACCAATCCGGTCAGAGTAAATCTGCCCTCTGCTGACTCACTCAGCTGGTGTTCAATGCACTTTGGGTGATGGCTTTGTATATTTTCAGTGTTAAATCTTCTTTCAGCTTGTTTTTTTAATTCATGCAAGAATATCTAAAGATGTTTTAAGATAACTGTAATCCTAGTCCTAAATGTACCGGTAACAGGCCATGCAACCCTGTCTATTGGGGCGTTAGAAAAACAATATGGAAGTTCCTCACCTCCATGCCTCACAATTCTGACACACTGATACCACCTGCTTTGATAGTTTTAGAAAGCCATTAAACTCATTCTTAGTGACTGATCTTCAACAAACTCAACTGTAATTGTGGTGGGAATATGTCACGTCAAAATAATCTTCAGAATAAAAACCAAAAGCAAAGAATCCAAAATGTTCAGTGTTTTAGAGTTTCTGTTAGATGGTACCTCCTCTCACTATTTATTCCAGTGTGTCTCTGAAGGGTAGGAGATGAACAGCAAAGCATTTTGGAGCAGAGTCACTGTAACAGGCTACATTAATGCTTGATGTTCAGCAAGGGAATGGGGAAGGCAGTTCCAAACAGCTGTAACACACACAACACGCAGAGGGCTGAACATACATTCATTTGGGCATGAACACAACTCATGAAGGCAAAGGATCTGCAATTTATCACATCATTATTTATCGAGGCATGGAAATCATCTTCATTCACAACAAATACAAATTTGTTAAGAGAATGTTCATATCATGAAAGCTCCTGGATAACATTCCTTCAGAGACTAATAATACAAAAAGATGTATTTCTCAAATTGAACCCAATCAAAGTTTTGATCAGTTATTAATGTGCCATAATTGAGTTGACAGGGTGTGCTGAACATAATGAAGCTTGGCAAGACAAAAAAAGGTTCAAAAAAGTATTCATTTTAACCCAGGACGGTAACCTCTTTACACCCACACAGGGGAGAGAAGAATATGGGAAATATAGATCAGTAAAACATGTCTGGCCAAACCAATACAAACAAATACACCAAAAGAAAGAGCAAACTATATACAATATCACAATAAATCCAAGGACAGTGGCTACTAAAATCCAAACATGTTACAGTAAAAAAAGGTGCTGAAAACAAAGATATGTGTGAGCTCTTGCAGGGTCTGAACTCTAATGACCTTTTCCACTGAGCTGGATGTCCAACGCTGCTGTCCCAGTAATATTCACACTGTTATTGACTCAAATATATTACCTTCATATGGGCTCTTTACTCACAGTAAAACAAATAATTACGTAACAATAATTCCTTCTCTATTCAAATTATTCAGACGAGTAGACCACAGAAATGTGCACATGTTCTTAAGTCCTTATTTCAAAGCTCTTACAGACAAAGAAGCAAAAGTAATTAAATGCATTACATGACAGTTTGAAGCCACAGAAAACCAGCTGGAGGATCCACATGCAGCACGAAGCTTCCCTTTAAAAACCAAGAGCATGGAGACGGCATCACGTTGTGCAAATCAAACCATCAATATATGAATTCTTGTTAGGGAGGTATTTCCATCCTTCATTTTTCACACTAAAATAAAAAAAATGTGTGAATCAAACAATGGACCCAACACATCCTATATTTAAAATGGACTGCTGAAACTCCCCCATCTCTAAAAACAAAGTGGACATATTTTGTTGAGGTGCTCTTGCCAAAGCACATGTTTCTCTTCTTTTCCTCTCTGTGTCCTTCAGTGCAGAGCCTCCACACAGATCTGCTCCTCAGTGATGTTGTCCAGCAGCTGCCCCTCCACAGGGCTGCATATGTCACTGTCATACACCTCCGTCCCCATCAGGGCCTCCTCCTCCAGCCCCACTCCCTTTGCTTTAAAGCCCTGCTGCTCTGAAGGGGAGGAGCTCTCCACTGACTCCAGGTCCTCGATGCCGGCCCGGTAGTGGATCATCAGCAGGGTGAGGGCCTGGAGCCTCTCCCCAGACTTAGCCAGGGCAGTACTGATGAGGGCCTTGCGGCGGGAATCTGTGGCCTCCCTCTCCTCCAGCAGGAGAGCGTTGTTGTGCTCCAGCTCCTGATCGATCTCCTGCTGCAGCTTGTCCAGCATCAGCTCCAGCTTCTGGGAGCGCTCTTCTGTGGGCAGCCCCCGGTACAGGTCGCGGCCTATCTCCTTGACAGCGATGAACACGCTGTCATCCAGCCCGCCTTCCCTGCGTACGAGTTTGCTGCTGCCCCCGCTGCACACAGGCTGCTTCGAGGGGCTGGCCCCGCTAGTGTAGGTCTCAGTGTCGCTGCTTTCGTTGTCTGAAGTGTTGGGGGTGTGCTTGGGTGAGGGCTCCACTGTCCCAGGCACCAAGTCAGCCACCGTCTCAACCAGCCGAGTTTTGGGCACCTGGCGGAGGTTCAGCAGGCGGGAGCTGGTGTTGATGATATGGCGGGTGAGGCCGGTGGTGGCCCGGTTGATGGTGGATTTGGCTTCAGGGTCAGCTCCGCGGCGATCAGTGGCTGCCACACAGAGGGGGTTTTCAGCGAGGCACTTGTCCTGGCACTTCTTGTGGCATACGTAGGCGCAGATCATACACTGAGAGGCGGCCTTTGTCCAAACCTTCTTCTTGCAGTATTCACACCACGTCGGGTTCTGGAACTGTGTGTCCTGGAAGTTGTGGCGAACCTCCACCAGCTGAATGGCTCCATATGCCAGGTCATCCCGCTGTGCAGTGTGGATCTGCTCCCGCTCCCTCTCTCTCAGATCCTCATCTTGGAGACTGCCCTCTCGCTCCCTCTCTATCAGCCCTCCTGGATAGTCTAGCTCCCCCTCGGCGAGGTAACAGAAGTTCAGAGTAACATCTCCGTAACACAGCTTCTCATTGAAGCCTTTGTGGGTGCTAAGACTGCGCAGCGCTGTGCGGCTGACGTTGGCCCTTGGCTCCGGAGGCCCCAGCCTGAAGGTGCTCTGGTACTCTGCTGACGATGTGGCCATAGATTCCAGGGCAACATGCTCCAGCTGGAGGCTGACGTGACCCAGGCACAATAAACTGCCCAACTTAAAGGGATCTTTGCACCACAGGGCCACATTAAGGTACTTTTGGTTGTTCTCCACCTCAAACACTACAGAGGCTTTGGGCCAGCGTGCGGTCTGGTGACGGATAAGGGTTTCTGGGGATTCCCAGAGGGAGTGGTCCTCCAGACTGTCCCGTGTGCTGCAGGAGCTTTCTGAAGCTTTGTCCTTTGCCTGGTCAGCTCTGCTGCTGCTGGTCACAGTGGGGGGGCCAGGCGGCTCATCAGTGGACTCTGCTGGTCTGGTAGGCTGCTTCACCTCAGCCTGTTTGACACAGGTCTTATCAGTGACAGCTTTGTCCTCATTGGCTCCAGTGAGAGGAGCTTTTTCTGGAGATTTTTCAGAAGCGCTGCTGCTGGAAGTCACGGTAGGAGCCACAGCAGCATTTGTAGCTGTAACAGAATCAATGCCTTCCAAAATACTGGTTTCTGAAGAGGCTGACGTCAACCTTATTTGAGGTCTTGGCGGCACTGGGGGGCGAGAAGGAGGAGGTGGGGGAGGGACAGTGGGACGTTGCAGACCTTCCACTGGATCACTATTGGTCCTTTGTGGAGAGGGCTTTGGAGATTCTTTGGGTTGGGGCTTTAGTGGCGACTGGAGACCCACCAGGTTTAGCTTGCGGTTGAGTATGGGGGATATGGAACCGAGGGGCTTGGAGGCCAGGCTGGCCACAGTCCTTTTAGGGCTTTGGTTAACGGTGAGTAAGGATTCCTCCTTTGCATCACTGGTATTTGTGGTGCTGCTGTTAGGGCCAACATTCTGGCTAAGTTTGGAGTCCACAATCAACTCTTCAAACTCAGAGTCCATGTCTTTGCTGTCTGATATGTCGGAGAGGGTGGTGATGGGAGCTGGGTCTTCTTCATACCCCCCCGGCTGAGGAATAAATCCTGTTTCCTCTAGCTGCCCAAACCCTTCCTGAAGAGTTCCAAGGCTTCCAAAAGAGTGAGCCTGGTGACGGACGGGCCTCTCATAAAGGACCACCACCCTCTCTCCGGCCTGCCTCAACAGTTTGGGCACTTGAACTGAAGATGTCACCTTGACTCCTGTAGAAAGTTCAAGAACAGGAAATACATTTTCAGTATAGCAAAGACCTGACAGTTTTTTAAAATCTTCTGATGGTTACCAAATAAAAAAATCTCAAACCTCCAATGGCGATGAGCCGATCTCCCCTCTGCAGGTCTGCCAGGGCTGCGGGGGAGTTGGGTGTGACGGTCTCGATGCTGACGTGCACTGCATCCCCCTCACTGGCAGGGACGTGTCTGAACGTCATCCCCACGCTGCCACACGCCCCCTTGATCACCTCCGTCTGATGCACACATGTAACAAGAGAACATTTACAATGAAAACCAACATGGATTTAGAGGTCAAAGGCCACAACTTATCTACTTTATGTATTGCTAGAATTGTGTACAAAAACATGATTCATTAATTATGGTCAATACAGGTGAAATATTCCTTTTCTTTCATTTTTTTTTTTTTTTTGGAGTCACATAGTATTTATGGTGCACTTTGCTCCTTTAACAGTTCCATTTTTTTAGTGACCCAAAAATATCAAACATACCGAGGTACAATAAATAAGTAAATCAACAAGCAAAAAAGATATAATAAAAATAATAAATAAATAAAACAGTAGACAGCGGGGGTTTTCAGTTTCAAGAATGAAGAAAAAAACCCAGCAGGGATTATACAAAAGCACAATTAAACTAATGCCCCGGCTCCACGGGAACCCATACGGCAAAACGCATCGGAGTAACGCAAACGCAAACGCAACCGCAAAAAACCTTCCGTCCCCACGCAATATACACCGGATTGTGTCAAGCTCCACGAGACGGCTCCGTTTACATCCAACCGCTGGAAAAGCTGCAGTACATATGCCGAACCTGTACGTGGCGCTGTAACTTCCTCCACAAAAGCAGCAACTTCCTCCACAAAAGCAGCGAAGAAGAATGGTTGTCATGGCTGCACTTCTGTTTATTCTCCGCGGTGGGGGCGGAGGGAACCGCGCAGAGTTTTTCGCCGGTCAACGTGTGTTAAAGTTTAAATCTTCCGGACAAAATTATAAAAGTGCCGGTCAAAGGTCTTCTTTGTTATTTATTGAGCTTTAAAACAAATAAATAACGACGATATAATGATATGATAATAAAATACACGGAGCCTGTCTCTTTTTCCTCTCTTCTGACAGCGTCAGTGTCTGTCTCATGCAGCAGCTGATCCAGTAATGATGACTCGACAGTAAAAATAAACATATTTATAACTAGTTTAGGTAGTTTGAGATGTAATTAAAATAGCTAAGGGTGATGATCTGACTTGAAGTGTGTGTTTTGCTCCCGCTGCATCACAGCGGGAGGAGCTGCGTGTCTCCGTCCTGTCAGATTAGACTTCACTCGCGTTTATGTCCATATCGAGATAAAGATAAATAATCTGAATTCAGTGTGCAGTGTACTTTTGCGGGGGTGAGCAGCAGAGGCGGGGCTATTGCGTCGTCATTATCAGAAACGGATGACCGTATAGGCGACCCCACGGCCCCGTTGGAACCCCCAGAGCGCTCCGTTCCCAGATCTATCCACCTTTGGACCCGTTGTCGTTTGCGGGGTCTGTTTCTACGTTTCTGTTACGGCGCCGTGCAGCTTAGAGGGCTATACGCATGAGAAATATGCGGATTCAACCCGTTTTCGTCCCCGTGGAGCCTAGGCCTAAAAGGAATGGTCGTCTAAAATACATCGCTTCCACAATTTTCAAGTTTCTTCAAATTGGTTTTCCTGAAGTTTCAGGGAAAAGGTATTTCCATTGACAATATGTTGTTTATTATGTCCATGATAAATGAGCCATTTCCTTGCAATTGCTTTTCTTGCAGCTACTCTCAGTATTCCAAATAGGCGTTTAGTTTTGGAGTTAGGGTGTATAGAATGTAGGGCTGTGCGATTATGGCAAAAATCATAATCACAATTATTTTGGTCAATAATTGACATCACGATTATTAAATACGATTATTCATTGACTTTGAAAACATCAATTTATTGAACTTTAAAAAAAATACAAATAATAATTTGAACAGTATCTTATAACATGATTACCCTGAACGTATAATTCAAGTGAAAAACCAATAAATAAAATAAATTATACATTTATATTTACATTTAAATCAATAATATCAAAATAATAAATACCAATAAACAAGATCAACAAATATTTTGGAGCGCACTTCAACAAGCTAATAAACATATATAAATATGATAAATACAAATAAATGAGATCAAATATGTTGCAGTGCACTGTCACAACCTAGCAAAGCAAAATAATCGTTTTTTCCGATTATGTTGTTTTCGTAATTGTGGCAGGCCAAAATCGTAATTGCGATTAAAATACGATTAATTGCACAGCCCTAATAGAATGTAGAAAAAGCAATGTCTCAATTGAAGGTGTCAAACTTTGGCCAAAAAGTAGTTATCCATGGACATGCCCAGAATAAGTCACACTTCCTGGGAGAGCTTGAATGATGGGCCGAATGGATTCCTTTTTCACTACAAAGTCTGCACTTTTGATATAATATTTCCAACTTTCATATCTCAACATTATTGTCTTTCCCTATAGTTACATTAGATATTAAGAGAATTGTATGAATTTTATATTTCTTCATGTTAAAAGTCTAAAACTAGCAACTAACAACAGATACTGCTCATTTGTCAGGTTATGTAAAAAAATAAGAATGAGAATAAATAGTAAGTTGAAAAATGCTTCATTACTGACATCGGCCTCCAGCACTTCAACATGAAACTCAAACTGAAAGTGGTATTGTATGGCAGAGGAGAAAGCTGCAATGAAACCCCCCCCCGCGCTCTAATAACAGCCACTTCTTACAGCTCAAGGCACATATAACACACCTGTTGTGACGCGGAGGTCACCTGTTCTAAGCATGACAGGTCGTATATAAAAGCTAAGTGTGTGTCTCCTATAGTGATGAGCATCAGTGAATTTGAGTGAAACCCATGTGATTTCCACTTTGATTGCAAGATATTTTCAGCTTTCCAAACACATGTATGGTAGGATATGTTCTGGAATAGAGAAAGGGCTAAATGAGGTGGAGAAGGGGGAGGCAGAGGAGGGTGGTACAGGTGTCCTGGTTTAAAAAGAGAAAAGAGGGGCCGGCATGATGTGGGTAGACGGAGACGAATGACTGTAATTTCCCCTCCTGTCATTTGTTACTGTTCTGGGTGAAGGCAGTGATTGAATTAGAGCTGGCCATCCAATAAGCAGATAATGTATACAAGCTGAAACAAGGGGGGGGGGGGGGGCAGATTCACTGAAGGCTAAGGGGAAGTCCTGATCCATCCTCATGTTAGCCTAATTAGTAGCACAGCCCTTTCTTTTAGTATGAAGTACACAGCAGGAAGCATACACCATTCTGCAGTGTTACCAGACTCAAGCCATCTGGAAATAAATGGAATCTTGAAATCATGACAAATGCTGGAAAAATGTAGCTTGGCAAGACAAAAAAAGTGTTTTAAAAGTATTTATTATAACCCGGAAACTATATACAAGATCACAATTACTCCAAAGGGATTTGTGGACAAAGACAGTCACTGCTGAATTTTGTTTTAATGTATGGTGTCCTTGGGTGTTATGAAAGTCACCTTGAAATAAAATGTATTATTATAAACCATAAATGGTAAAATTACAGATTTTGTCAATGGAATCTGGCTGCTTCAGTGAGAGCATAGATAGCTGGACTGACTGCTGCTGCCCTTATCTACAGCAGAGCAAAGCCTACAGTCCATGCTGGTTCTCCTGTGTACTGTAGATAATACACTGTCTATGGATAAGTACCTCACACAACCCCACTTCAAAACAGCTGAACTATCCCTTTAAGTTCTCTGAGGTTTAATCTGATCTGGCCATGTTACCGCTCTTCCATGAAGACGCTAACAACATTGCAGAGGGGGGGTTGCTGGGGGGGGGGGGAGTGTGCAGGCTATAGGCCTCTTCAGCTTCACATCACACAATGATCATTACTGAGGCAGGTGGGTTCTGCTGGAAAAACACTCAGGATCTGGCTGCGTACGACAACAGGAGATGCAAAATCAATTTGACATTAACAGGATATTGAAGTGGAATAGCACATAATCATTTATCCTCATATTGCAGCTGATTGAGTCAATCTCACAGAGTTATTCACCCTGTGCTGCATCACTTCTGATCACAATTCGGTTGGCAAATGTATTACGCTATACAGTTGAATGTATATTTAACATATGTATTTAAACCCATTACGTTAACCCCACATAACTGCCTTGCTAGTACTCCGTCAGAGAAAGCATGGCGCCCACACTGTCACTTTCTGCCCTCCCTGATGGAATATAATCTCTTTCTTAGAAAACAGAACAGAAAGGTTGACAATTGAATGATATAACCAGGATATCAAAGTTACTCAACAAAAACAGGTTAAACAGATCACAGTGTAAAGTGAACCATAATGTCTTCAGATGTAATTAAGAAGCAACACTGTTCCTGTGCAGCAGGGAAGATCTTTATTCAATGCTACAACCATTAAAAGAGAAAGTAGCATGTGTATGCATTTGGTTTCAGTAGCAGGCATAGATCACAGGTGCTCGGTAAAGATGTGCCTTACTCTGCTAATGACAGCTCCACTGATTTAAACATAAAAATGTAATGATTTTAGACAGGGGTCTCCAACATGTCAGCTCGCGAGCCCTCAATAAGTAGCTTGCCAAGCAAATCCAAAATGTAAAAAATACACACAAAAAAAAAGGAAATGTAATTAAAAGAATCTACCCTATGCATAAACGAAATCTCAATCATCTACTTACTACAACTCTATATCTATCTAACACCCCTCCTCCCCCCACCCCCACAATGAATATCGACCAATCACGTTCTTGCTTGATTTGCGGGACCAGCGTTGCAGTCTGGAAGAAAAGCAATGTGGAGCGGCAGCTCCCCGCTTCATAAGGAGTTTAACCTTTCCTTCTGGCAGAATCTACACAACACATCAGCCCCATTGAACAGCCTAGTGGTGCCAGCCTATACAGCACATGAGGGCCAGAGTTTTACTCTGTGTGTGTTGCAACTTGCATATATATTTATTGCACTTGACGCACACACACGCATGGCGTAATTTCCACTGGGGACAGGGGGACATATCCCCCCCCACTTTTCGAAATCCCGTTTGTGTTCCCCCCACTTTACAAATATGTTTATTTTATTTTTTTAACGCAAGCCGTCATCGCCACGGAGGAGCACACAGCCTCTGTGAGAGAGAGAGAGAGAGCGAGAGAGAACTAGAGAGAG